ACGACAAACAAGCCCATACACGGGCCCCAACGTCTAAACCAGCATAAGACTCTAGGCTAGAGGTGCTGCTAAGGGTTCCGGGTTCACAGGATTTAGGGCTTAGGTATCAAGGATTCAAGGTTTCGAGGTGTAGAAAATTGGGGTGGAGACGTTGATGAGCCTTAAGAACTAGATATATGATGTGAGTCAAGAAGCCTGAAAATGCAGATGAGGTCTCCAATTCTAGTATATGCTCCTCCTAAACCCTAAACCCTAATCCCCTAAACCCTAAACCCCTAAACCCTAAACCCCTAAACGCCCAAACCCTAAACTCTAAACCCCTCCTCATGTCCCCAGTCCTGGTTTACCGGAGGCGCGTCCGCCTGCAAGGCCTTCGCGTAACCTGTGCTCCTCGAAAGGCAGCTCTGGAGCTCCAAAGGTTCAGGGCCTAGGGTCTATAAACGACAACTTAAAATGTGATATAGTCCGAAGTCTTATAATAAACTATGCTATAACTAGTACAAAAACTTATAATATATTATGATATCAATGATATCATGTATTGTAGGAATGGCCTGACCAAGGCTGCGGTATCGACCGGGGCTGAGGGTTTTCGGGGTCTTCATCCATGGCCCACTTCTTCTGCTTCGAGGTGCACCGCTGGGGGGTCAAGGTGCTCAAAGTGCGTTTAGGGTTCAGGGTTTAGGGTTTAGGGGTTTAGGGTTCAGGGTTTAGGGTTTAGGGTTTAGGGGTTTAGGGTTCAGGGTTTAGGGTTTAGGGGTTTAGGGTTCAGGGTTTAGGGTTTAGGGGTTTAGGGTTTAGGGGTTTAGGGTTCAGGGTTTAGGGTTTAGGGGTTTTAGGGTTCAGGGATTATGGTATAGGGTTTAGGGTTCAGGGTTTAGGGTTTAGGGGTTTAGGGTTTAGGGGTTTAGGGTTCAGGGTTTAGGGTTTAGGGGTTTTAGGGTTCAGGGATTATGGTATAGGGTTTAGGGTTCAGGGTTTAGGGTTTAGGGGTTTAGGGTTTAGGGGTTTAGGGTTCAGGGTTTAGGGTTTAGGGGTTTTAGGGTTCAGGGATTATGGTATAGGGTTTAGGGTTCAGGGATTATGGTTCAGAAAGGTTTACGGTTCAGGGTTTCGGGTTTCGGGTTCCGGGGTTTAGGGTTTAGGGGTCGGCCGGATGTTGGGTTAGCGGTTTGGAAGTCAGAGTTTAAAGTTTAAGGCTCCAAGAACCACAAAGGGACAATCAGGAATTTGGGGTATGTTTTCGTTGAGGATCTCCATCAGCCTGGGGTAGGGAAGTGTAGAGAAAATCCAGTTCCAGACCACATTGAGGTTGTAAGCTCGTCTTGTATCTTAGCGCACAAAGGGCTCCAGACAGTCGAATCATGCCTAACCGTGAACGCTGCCGGCTTCAATTCAAGTCGGCGAACCACTCTCGTGATTAGTTCTACCCATCACTAGCCGCCCTAGCCCCAGTTCACCAAAACCAAAACCGGTTGTAGGTTCAGTGTCGGGCTAGAACTTTGAGATCAAGGATCTGTTGATTTTTAAATTTAACTCTGGTGGTACTCCAAACCCGACCTCGGGTTTGGGGTTTTGGGCTTGAGGCTTTAGGGTTTTGAGGATTTCTCACCCACAATGAACGCCATCTCCTCATCCCTGAATCCCTGTCACCAATAAGTTAAACCCCAAAAGGTAAACGCCAAACCCTGGATAAGAGATCCCTCAACTTGAGCCCTCCTGAATCCCCAAACATCGACCAGGGCTCCAACTTGTCAGTGGATTCTCCTGCCTGCCAACAGTGTGGCTAGACTTTGCGTACAGGGCTCACCCAAAGAAAGTATGTTATGAGAAAAAGTGGATGTGAATCACACATGTCAAACAGCTCGTAAACAGTTGCGAAAACGAACCTACAACGAAGCATCAAACGAATATAGATAGGTATGCGTATGCATGAGCATTCATTTGATCACACATATATATATATATATACACAAAATTATACATGTATACATCCGCACTTGAACTTGTAAATGACTCATGTCAACTGTTGTCTGGACCCCTTCCACATCCAACCCTGCAAGTTCGAGAGTCTCCATGAGGGCTCCCGACACATGAACTTAGTGTAGGGGCCTCAATAAATACCAATACTATTCTGGGGGTTCCTCAAAAAGACTGTTGGTCCCATGGGCACCCAAAACCCTAGTCTAATTATTAAGGCCTTTTTCAGATCTCTATTTGAATCCTTAAAGGAACCCTTACAATACCCTTTAACAGGAACCCGATTCTACTTATAAAATTATTAAGGCCCCCCCCCCCACCAAGGGGTGAAGTTCCGTGAGAGCCTTGGAGAATCGGGCTTAGGAATCTATCCATATGGGAGTTTCCGAAAATTTGGGGTACCTTAGGGTTGCTTTGAAGGGCTCTACAAGGGTTTAGAGTTTCCGAAAATTCGGGGTATATAACTTATTTGGGGATCCTTATTGTAGGGATCCTACTATTTAAGGTATATACTATATTTGGGTCCACTGCTTTCGGAAACTACGATATACCATCTTATCGTCGGCCTGAAACACAAAACCCTGAATCCCAAAAGCCTGGACGCAAAAGACCTCAAACGGTAGCTACTTTTCTAATGCCCCTTGAATTTTAGACTGTATACGCCCAAAACCTCCAATGAAACCCTAAACCCAAAACCCCAGACTCTACTTTTGGAACTTTGGGCTTCGGAAATTGAACTCAATTGGGGACCGGATGGCTGCCTGCTGAAGCTTTCGCTTCTGCGCAGTGTGAAGCTGACCCAGCTGCGCCTGGATACTTCAAGAGTCATGGGACGTAGTAACTAGGGTTATACTTTGGGTAACCACTAGGCTTTTAAGTGTCCCGGGTGAAAAAAGTCAATACTTTTTCAAGCGTTTTGTGGTTTCTGCCCGCCATGACTGAATGCTTGCACAGCTCGGATCTTGTTTTCACACAGCCATTGCACGGCTTGCTCCGTCGCTTCGGCCGCTGCTGGCACTGCTGCTGGCGCTGCCGCTGCCGCTGCCGCTGCCCCTGCCGCTGCCTGGGGCCGCCTGCCTGAGCTTTGTCTGCAATTGTGAAACCGGATACTTGCCACTGCAATTGAAGAACTCAGAATTTCCAAGAACTACAGAGGATCTATCTATTTCTCCGAGCAACTGGCTGCTCCTCAACAGATCGAAGCACTTCGGCTTGCCCTTCAAATCGATGACATCATCGCACAGACCTGGGGCACCCAATCCACGGCACAGCCGAAGAAATTTGATAGGCAGGAAATGGCAACAATGCTCAGATGCGGCAAAGCAGCTTCCCTGGAACAAGTAGCCAATGCCAGAGCCGGGGTTCACGGCATGCTTAATCCAGATCCAGTGCTCCATCTGCTGCTCAGCCGGCGGCACCAAACCGCCCTTCGGCGTCGGCCGAGGCAGCTCAATCTCTTCGTCCCACCACGATGCCACCACTCTCTTCGAAGAGCTGCGCTGTTTCCAGGTCTTGCCCGTCTGCTGCCTCCTGTCGCTCTTGAGGTTGTGACCACGAGTGTTTCTCACGTCACCTTGGACCGGACAAGAGAAAGGAGGCAGCGTCCACAATGCTTCAAATAGCAATGTTCGACAATCAAGGCACAGCCATTGCAGAGAGCAGGCGGCTTCCGCCGACTCGCAGCATTGCACTTGGGACACTTGTATGGACAGCTCGGCATTGATGTGATGGAACCTTGGATGAGCAAAGCTCTGAATCTTGAGAGTCAATCGTGTCAGCATGCCCGGCATGGAACACACAAGCAACGATCTCTCTCGACCAAAGTCGCTGTAAACGGATCCCCGAAGCAGCAACCAGCCTCACTGTCAAGACTCTCACACTTTGTAGTATGACGGAGTGCATGCAACCTAGTCACAGCAGCTTGTTGGCGCCCTTGCTCAGCACTGAACACCTGCATGTGTGTGAACGAAATCCGAGATCCAGAATGGTGCTGTTCACTTGGCTTCTTCCCACCCCAAGATACCATCACCACTGAACCCACACCAACAAACCTGACTGGGTTCTGGGGTCCATCGGACCCCTCAGGTCCATCTGGGGTCCATCGGGCCCCTATAAAGAGAAATCAATATCCGTCCATAATGCCACCTAGCCAAGAATTTCGTTGCCACGACTTTCTGCAAAACGAACTATGCTCAGAACATCCCGTCAAGCTCCAGGCCCTCAAAAGCGTAAGTTGTATCACGTAGCCGCCGAGGAAGTCAACTCTCCCGTCACAACATGAATGGATCTTTCCCTTCGTAGCGAAACCATTGAGGGATGCCATGTTTAGAATCTTCTTTCTGCAAATATCATCCGTACAATCTTGCTAATGTAAGTAATGTAGGTATCTTTCCAGTCCAATGCAGATTTTTGGGTTTCATGTCGAATTGAGGTTGTCCTACCATATCGAATTGAGGTTGTCCTACCATGTCGAATTGAGGTTGTCCGGTACACTTTGGGGATCGAAAATTTTTTCCAATGACACTTGCGGAATCAAACTGGCCTCGCCGAGTCCTGTCCAACGAGCTGGTCGCCATCCGACGGGAGGCTAGACAACCACAATTCAACATGGTGGAGGGTTTTGGGGTCATATGGAATTGAGGTTGTCTTAGGGTTTGCGGGCCCACTGTCGGAGCCTCTATTTCCAATTGAGGTTGTCCTAGGCCCGTTGTCCGAGCCTTTCTGTCATGTCGAATTGAGATTGCCCTACTGGTTGTGGCAGGCCCAAGCGTGGCCCAGAAATCTATTTCGAATTGAGGTTGTCCTTGGCCCGCTGTCGGAAGCAATGCCTGGTTCAGGGAGCTGAGCAACATCAATGGCACACAATCCAATAACACTCCCAGCATGTTTGTTGCACATGTTTCAAGCTGCTAGGTGACAGGCGTGCCGAAAGAGCAGGCCAGCAATGCTTTTTCCCCAAGGAGCAAGATCTGACCAGACAAAATCGGCCATCGTGGCGTATAAGCGGCACCCCAGGATTCTCAGGCATCTCCTCGTCGATCCTGGTGCCTCTTGCGAATCGCAGCACAGCTGTCGCAGACACAGTGCTCGCAGTACTTGCTCACGAGGTCCTGAGCAAAGGCAGCAGCACGGCACAGAAGCTCTCGTCCAAGCCCGTCCTGCCTTCAGCGGGGCCGGGTGATCCTGTTTGAACTTGTTGGCAGCCAACTTCCTGGAAGTCAGGGGCTGAGGGAAGGCCAGAAAAGCACCGGCGGCAGAGAGCCTCATTATCTTCTGCCCAGAGTGCCACCGAGCTTCATCATCATCGAGCCGGTCGCCAATGCCCCCGGCAGCGTCGCCAATGCGGTGCCCTGGCCGACTGGAAATCCAGCCTTCTTCATCTCAGAGTTGATTTGGCTTGTGAAGCCGAGAGCCACGAAGCGACAAATGATGCACAGGGCCGGTGCGGATGCGGGCACCCACGTCCAAGGCAAGCGAGCGTCGAACCGCACAATTTTTCCGGAAACATCCTGTGTGTTCATCGTCCTGTCCTGGTGCTTCACGACTCCGTCCAAGAAGTTCCAGAGCAGGGGTCCTGCCAGTGCATGTGTACCCTTGAACCCGGGATGCTCAAGAACTGCCTGCCGGCCTTGTCCGCCTTCTGCCGGTGCAGGTGCCAAGGCATACCACGGCCGCGAAACCGGCTTGCCGGACATCATACCGGCCGCTCCACTTCGAGGCGCCCAAACGATCTCAAAGCTGTGGTACTTCATGTCTTTGGGCCCTGCCGCGATTATCAAGTGATTGATTGCCGTGCAAATCCGCGGGGCGTCGAAGGAGCTGAAGCCGTAGTGGATAATCTTCTTCGGCTTGTCCTTGGCCTCTTGTGCCTTCACAGCCGCATTGCGTCCTTTCTTCGGAGCTGCTTTCGGCTCTGGAGCTGCTTGCGGTGCCGGTGCAGAAGCGGGACTGCGAGGCGGGGCAGGCGGCCTGCATTCTTTGACACCACAGAACCTGCCAGAGGAATGAGTCAACCGTCAATGTGTCAACCCCGAAATCTTGCTGTTGAATCGAAATGTAAGGAGGGGGCAGACTCTGGGCGCTCCCCTTCTTCTTGGCGGGACTGGCCCTCAAATGCAACATCTGCAGAGCCCTTCCGACTTCCAAACTGCAATCGCTGGGGACCACACGAATAGAGCTTGTCGCAGAGGGTCCACAGTGTGCCAAAATCGGCCTGACACTTTAATGCTGCAATCACGGCAGACACCCGAGGCTCAGAGCACCTTGCTGTTCGACAAAATGCTTTGCAGCTGCTCGGCCGAGATGTCCTCCACCTTCTGGCCTTAAGCTGAAAGCATGCAGACCACAAGAAACATACGGGCGACAAGGCTCCGACGTTTGGTGAGGCCCGTTTTGATGCTGGCCACAGCATTGGCATCGCTGGTCGTGTGGGACATGTCAGCAAAGACAAAAGCTGACAATCTGAACAGGCCCTCGATCAGCACAAAATCTGAAATGGCAGCCGCGGCGACGATTCTTCAAAGTTGAAAGTGTGAAGACTGTGAAGGGCCATGCAAGCCGTGTACCCGAGCACACTAACAATGCCAGCACGGAAGGAAGCCGACTTTGTTTAAGCACCGGCAGCAGCTACATGAAGAAACAGCTATGGCTGAGCTTCGTTCACCCGGGCTTTCTGTGCACGTGGACTGCCAACCGCAGTTTACCATGTTCAAAGCCCGGCCCCTTCAGCCGCACCGCTCTGTCTCACATGAGACCATAGGAAAATCAAACTGCACAGCACTGACTTACTCAAACTGGCGAATCAATCTCCTTCAGCAGGTCTTCAACATTGCCTCCTTCGCCCTCAAGCTCCTCCAGCTCTTCTTCTTCGCATTGGTCCTCTTCTTCACCCTGCATCTGAGTGTCCGTGTCTGCAGGCTGGATTGCAAGCGTTTCCGGCGGCGTCTGCGTGCAGTTGTCGCCGCCCTGACCCTCCTCAACCTGCTGTCGCAAGGCAGCTGCATGGTCCATGCCGTCGCCGGTGTCCAAGTTCTGGTAGAAGCGGGTGCAGCTCGCATCCAGCATCTTGTGGCGAAGGGCAGAAAACAAGTAGTCCTGAAGCTCCTTCATGTGGGCGGTGCTTCTGCAAAGAACAATGCAGGAGACTCGCATTTCCTTTGCAGGGAAAGGCGAGGGCAGCACAAACCTGAAGCACACAGCTCTCAGCAGCCAAAATCGACCAAGAGGCCAAGGCTGCCAACAGCAGAGTTGGGTCAGGACTGAAGGCCACGAGGCATGAGGCTTGAAGCAGGTGCAGCAATTCTTTGTAGCAGGATGGGTGCTTCGACCAGTAGTGCAATGGTACGAGCTCCTGAGTCAGGAAGCCAGCTCAGATGAAGCCTTCTACCACAATTCGCAGCGAAGCCTTCAGCCCCACATCATCGACAAAGTGTTGCGGCAGAGGCTGGTCATGGGAGACTTCGCCGTCCGTCTCTTTGAGGAGGAGCTGGCAGGGAGGAGGAAGGCAAGAACACCCAACCTAACGAGGCAGCGGCCTTCTCTTTGTCCTCTCGAGTGACGAGCGGTTCCACATCGCATGGGGCCAGCAAAGGCACATGAAGGAAGGGGTAGGACGAATCGATCCTGCAACGTGTCTGTCTGTGTGTCTGCTCCAATTTCAACACGACAAAGACGGAGTTTCAAGGTTACTAGCGGTCCCGATGGCAGACAAAAAGCGAAGGTCGCGAGCTTGCAAAGTGAAGCCGGCGGCCATCACATGTGCCCCTTCGGACCCGCCGAGTGCCGACAGACTAGCGGCCTTCTTGCGTCTTTTGCCGGATTGCCCAGTGGATGGCCTGAGGAGTTCGGGCAGTTTAGGGTTAAGGCGGAACTGATGTTCGCTGTCACTCAGTTTTCAAGCAAGGCACTCGGTCTCACGGAAACTGGCTCTCGCCTCCAGGTCCCGCTGGCTGGCAGGAAGCAGGGTCCAAGCTGTCTGAGTCCACGTGTCATGCTGCTTCTGCATTTTTGCGAAGCTTCGGCGGATCTCCGAGCCGCCTTTCGCTGAGCCGGAGTCAAAGGCCAGGAAAACATCCCTGGCATCGGTGGCCGTTTGACCGAAGAGTTTCAGGGCCGTCTGCCTCGGGTGCTAGTGTCCTACAAAGCTTACAGGCCCACGGCCCACAAGTCTCACGACGTCCTTCATTTGCAGCAGGGCGACAAAGCACCCTCTGCAAAAGGCGGCGTGCGGCCGTAGATATTATGGGTTTTGCTCCATGCAGTACCCGTCTCCATCAACATGGCACTGTCGAACACCCAAACCCGGTGCTCCTGCTCGCTGGCCATGCGGGGCTGCAGCATCTTCAACATCCTTAGGTCTTAGGTTCAGCTGTCTTTCAAGATTTTTTACCAAACAGCCAGGGCTCGGAGAAAGCACAGACTGGACACCGTTGGCGTCGACGAGGTCGCTCACAACCAACATCTTGGAGTACCTCTGCATTTCGTGTGTAGCCGCCTCTCGCAGCCTTTGGTCACGAAGCACCGCCGTGGCAGGGGCCGAAGTTGAAGAACCAGGACCAGCAGCAGCAACATCTGCGTCGTTCCAAGCAGCAGTCTCCGGCTCCTCAGCAGGAGCAGGCGGGGGCTCTGTCACAGCCGGCGGTACGATCGGTCGCAGGTGCTCTTTCCCGTACCTGGGAAGCAAGGAGCGTGAATGAAAGATGAAGCCCTGCTAACAGTGATTGCGGGAAATGCTGCCGAGCATCGCCTGGACCGTTTCGGAGACGATGCTTTGGATTCTGTGGTCGCTCCACTGGGATGACGAAGTGTTCACATAGGCCGCGACAGCCCCGATTGCCTTCAGGTACTTCAAGTTGGCCAGGTCGTTGAGCAAGGTCAGCACCCCGGCCTCGCTGTCCGTCGCTCCGAGCATCGCCGTCGCGAGGAAGTCGTCGGAGATGTCCGTCGCGGTGGAGACGTGTATCCTCTCAGGCGAAAGCATGCCGGCCAGGGAGTCCAGCCACTTTCTGCTCTGGCCGGGAGCACTGCATTCTTTCACTAGCCGTGCCATCAACCTTCTCGTGGCGAGGAGAGCCTTGCACGTCGTCTCGACACTTTCTTTGGTCATTTCCGCCACACTTCTGTCGAACTTCTTGTCGAAGAACTCGTTCCCAAAGGCCCTTGCCAGCTGCTTGATCAACCACTCAAAGTCGACTTTGTCGCGACTTGGGCCTAACAGTCGAACCGCGGAGCTCCAACGGCCAGCCCAAGTCACACCAGAAGGGCCTCGTTGCATCTCCCGCAACAATTCCCATGTCGATGCTTCCGTTGCCCTCTCTCGCAACCGCAAGAGCTTAGAAACCATATCCGACGACCGCACCTGGCATTGAGCAGCGTGCTTATGGACCTCTGGAGAACACTTGGCGATTACCAGCCTTGCTCTCTTCGCTCGCGAACTTGAGCTTTCCATCAGCAACTTTTGCCTGCGTTCAGGCGAAACTAGCAGGAATGAGAAAGAAAGCCCAGCTACCCCAAGTCCACCTACCTGAAACTCTTGGAAGATGTCTTCGGCCGTAGACCTTTTCCCCATGGACTTCAGCAGGAGCTGCAACCTCAGTGTCACAGGACAGCCGGAGTCATGAATTTGAAACAGCCGAGGTGCTGGAAGAGGCGATCAGCCAGCCGGCAACAATAGGCATTGCTTTCCTGGCAGAAAACCGGACAACATCTTTCAAGACCGTTCCTAGCAAGGGTGACCTTGCACCAGGCCTCTTGGGCGACTTTTTCCATATTTTCGCCATGTGCGTGAAGATGCCAGAAACTGTCGGCCGAATCTGGGGACCCACGAAGAAGCATCGCCGGAACAGCCTGAGCAAAGCACATCCCAGCACGACTTCAGACCTGCTTTAGCAGAGGAAGAATGGCAACCAAGCTACACAAGCCCGGCGGCGAAACTGTTCGGCACGTTCCCCGGTGGCTGCCGCCCATTCTAGCACGAATGCCGAGAGTTGTGCAAGCCGCGTAACAGGGGCCAAGCCTCCCCTCAGCAGGGAACAACACAAACAGCTCGCGAGCTGATGATTGAAATTTTGAAATCTACTATTGCGACTGCTGGCTTCTGGCTGTCGTCGCTGCAAAGGGCCGTCACTGTGGGCAACTCTGCGACCGGTGCGGCCGGGTTGTACCAGTAGGCCCTGGCACTCGCGACGTCGGTCCGCGAAAGGCTCATGGTCGAGAAATTCGGGTTGACGAAATCCAAATCCCCCAAGACGAGGTTGCACCGAAGACACCTCAGGAACTGGCACTGGGCCGCGGGAGACAACAGCAGCAAGACGACAAGAGCAGAATGCAGTCTGGAGTCTGATCAGCAGAAGGAATGTCCGTCCCCTTGAAATCGTTGGGCAGGGAGCACAACCCAGCCAGAGGATTCGGTTCAGTCTTGTGCTCAACCCACGTGCCGGCGGCCCTCAACGTCAAGATGGCTTCCTGCACGAGGTCCCAAGCCTTTGCGTACTCCTCAGTTGAGGCGGGTATGCTGCCTGGGACAGCTGCCTCAGTCTCAGGGTTGGCTTTCGCCTTGGCCTTGGATTTCCGCCCCGGTTTTCCCATGGCAGACTCACAAAGCAGGCGCCCGACAATCAGGCGATTGAATGCCTCTAAAACCTGCGGCAGCATTTTAACGAGTTAAGCCGGCAATGCTGCTCCTAGGACCTAGGATTTCAAATGAAGAGTAGCATTTACCAAGGCAGCTTCGCGACTCTGCAGCCCGACTGGCAGCAATCCCCCAGCCCCGAGAAGAGTTTACCCCAGAACAGACCGGAAACTAAAACAGCGACCCAGACGTGGGGCAGCATGGTAGCAGCGTTTTCCAAGGCAGTCGAAACTCCGCAGCCCGAGTGGCAGCAGTCCCCCAATCCCCAGAAGTTGACCCCAGAGCACAGAAAATGGAACAGCGACCTATTACAGCTGTACAGGAAAGGTGAAAGGTCGCGGCAGGAGAAGAGGTCAGATCCACCTTGGCCGACAAATCAGATTTAACAAGCTTTGGGAGTATCCGGAAATGCCGCCTGCTACAGAGCCAGGATATGGAGACGAGGTACTGGCTGAACTGCAAGAGGCAGTCCTGCACGGAAATCAGTTTCCCGGGGATCTTGTGCTTCTCCAAGTTCCTCTTGATACCCGAAAGAGCTTGTGGAACCACGATGAGGGTTCTCTTTTTCCTCGGTTCCGATGAATGCAAAACAAAAGGATTACGAACTTAGCATTCCTGTCGCTAGAAGCCTTCCGAGCCCGGATGGCTCCGGCCGACAGTGGGCCACAGGCCCGGCGTCGCTACAGAGGGTCCGAGCCCGGTGCTGCATTTCCGACAGTCATTCTGCTTCTTGACTGATGACTAGTACACGAGCGTCGCTACGGATGCTCCGGGCCCGGAGGGTGTTGCCCGACAGTGGGCCAGTGGCCCGGCGTCGCTACAGAGGGTCCGGGCTCGGAGGGTCATATCCGACAAGTCTGGGTTGCAGAAAAAAAGTACATCCTTTTTGATGTGTCTCGGGCCCTGGGCTTGACTGAAAGAATGCAGGCGAGAAGCAGCTTGTGCTTCTTCTTGTCCCGTAAGACCATCGAAACACTGTCTCCCAGGCGACTGTTAAGAAGCCCTTTGTGAAGCTGCCACCAGAAATCCGAAGCATGGCCTGGCAGCTGCTTGCCCAAGTAAACCTGATGCGGCGTGAGCATAGCCGAACGGAGCTGCAGGATCGGAGCCTGGCCGGCGACAGACAAAACACCGAAGCTGCGGGCAGGAACAAGGGGAAGCACAGGACTGGCTTTGCCGACAAGCAGCTGGCAAGGCCTGTGCGGGGCTGTTGGCAAGGCGTTCCAACCAGCTCGGGCCACAGACATAACCGCCCAACAGGCGAGTAGCCAACACGAGGTGGGATCTCTTCTTCTGCTTGTCGGATTCGTCTTCGATGTCGAGCGTTGGGTCAGTGAGCCAGAGCAGAGTTTCATAATTGGAGCACAGGTACACTATCTGGCCGGGCAGCGTCTCGTAGAAACTGGCCTTGTGCAACTGAGTCAAGAAGGAAGTAACCCCGTGTATGACCACCTGTTGCTCAGGCTTGCAAACCTCCAGAACCCGTCTCTTGATGGCATGCTTGTCTTCCGTCGCCTCACCAACAATCACAACCCAGGTTGGCACGGGTGCCAGGGTCCTTGTGTCCTTGGCCATCTGTCGTTGCTCGACCTTGCACAGCTGCTCGGCATTCTTAAGAACATCCCTCTCCAGCTCCTTCAGCTTTGCAGCACCTTCGTGGCGCGGCCCGTGAATGAAGGCCTCCTGCCTCTCGCGGGCCTTCTTCTTCAAGCACAAAAGCAAATCGATTTGCTTCTGCGAAGTGCGATCCTGGCAAAAATGAGAATGAAACTGCACGAAGCAAATGGCCGGAGCGAAAGCAACGGTCCTTGGCGGCCTTCTGTACCACATCGTCAAGGCCCACGATCTTTTCCACGACCGAAGGGTCCAGAGCCTTCGACTGCTCCTCGGTCAAAGCCACGACCTCGCCGGTTTTGCGGCGATCGAAGGCTTGCAGGCCTTTTGCTCGAAGTCTGGATTTCATCAGCCTGCGGGGCAGATTCGTGGACTTGGTGTTCTTCCCCTGCCCGCCATTCAGCACACGGTATGTTTGCAACACCCGGTTGCAAAACGGTGTGGCTTCGTAGCATCTGCCGGCTGTGGTCGGCCTGGCGATCCTTAAGCTTAAGACTCAAGCCGGCACACTAAGAGAGGAGGGCACAAGACTAGACTAGACTAGACCAAACGGCTGATTCGCAGATGAAACTCATATCCGGCGGCGGAGCATCGCAGAACACTTTCATATACAAGTTGCGATGGGTCTCCGTGATTGAAGCCTTGGCGCCCTTGGTGAAAAGCCGGTAGGTGGAGAAGCTGCTTTCGATGGCGGAAGTCGAGTCGAAGATGCAGAGCAGGCAGCGAACCTGAGCATTGCGAGACAGGCAAGACGTAGTTCGTCAGTGTCCAGGAAAGACAACACAGCCGTTGGACATGTCGAAGATAAGGCAGGAGCGACTTTGCAAAGGACCGGCAACCTCGAGCCCCAATGGTTCATCGTCTGAGGCCAATAGTCCAAGTGGCCAGCCCTGGGCAAGCAGTGTGTGAATGGTCATGATTGGCCAAAGTCGCAATGCCACGTGTCAATTCAAGCAGCTTTCCCACCTCGCCAAATGCAAAGCAGTCGGCCGAGCCAACAGAAATTCAGCCTCTAGCTGGCCACCGTCCACCTGTAGCATGGCCGCCAAGGGGTCGAAGCAATGTTTCCTTGGAAGGAAGGGAATGAATGGGAGGCACGACTCAGCACGATATAACCTCAATGGCGGATTGCTCTGCAAACAAGAAACAGGCAGTCGTCCTTCCGCTTCTTATGCCACTGGAGTACATCGAAGGGGCACAAGCTGCCCGCCACACCAGTGGTGTGCCAACATGTGATGCTCTCGAGGAAGATCTTCGAAATGTTTCGAATACTGCCGAGTTCTTTGCACAGAGATTGCTCGAAGTTGCTGTCGCTGTGGCCTCTGGCACCACAAGACAGGATGAACAAGTTGAGGTGAGGGGTGCACCTTCGTAGTGCAGCAACAGATTGCCGTGTGCAATGATTGCTCGCTCAGAACCTTGCAAGCAAATCGAAAGCAGGAAGAGGCCACAGGCACCATGCTTGTGTTCAGTGTTGAAAGTCCCAATAAAGAACCATGCAGGCTGGAAGCTGAACCTCATCGCTCGCTCTGCTACAGAAACATAGCCAGCCGTGTACTTTGGGTTCAGGACATGTGGCACCTGGGCTTGCCCGGTCAGGGTTTTCAGCTCGAACATGTCATTGAGCTCCTGTCCCATTATCTCACAATCGCAACTTGGAGCCAGGACTTTCGCAAGAAGAAGGTCCAGGCGTCCTTCTTCAGAAGATCGGCCAAGGACGAGGTCCGGGCTATGTTGGCTATGCAGGTTGTCGGCGAGGAAGCTTTGACAGGATCCTTGTCATACATATGCACGTACCTGGAACAGATGCTCAACCACTCCGTGAGCAGGGCCAAAGCCCTGATATTTGGAGCCGTGAACACCTGCAGACGTGGCCAGAAAATCTTCTGCACATGTTGCTAACCGTGAATTGCCACAAGCAGAACGACAGCCAAGGCACAGCCAGGAGCTTCCTAGCCCATTCTTGCTGGCAGTTCTGGAAGGAAGCCGTCTCCACGAGGAGTTCCAGAATACTATCCAGGTTCATGACTATTTTCTTGACAGCCGATAGTATGCTGTCGAACCTTTGGGGAGCCCACGAAGCCGAAGAGGCCTTTCCGACCAGCTCGTCCACAGCATGCAAGCTTGCACGGGCCTTTTCGTCGAACTTCGCTTTGAGGCGACAGCAATTGTGCAAGGCTCGGGTCAGGGAGCCTGGGTCCTTGACATTGTTAACTGCAGAGTAGCGGAAGACGAGCTGGTCCAGGAGCTTCGACAGGGCCGTGTCTGATTTCACGGCCGCCTCCAGCCCTCGTTGGGCTGAATGCATCAAGCACCGATGGGTGCATAGCAAATTTGGAAACACACCTTTCACCTCAACAGGCAAACGAGCGAATAATCACCTTAGCTATGCAAAGCAATAGGTCGAGGAGCAGCGACCATCCGTCCTGCCAGTGTCTCGGCAGATTCGCCGTCTGTTGTGAACACCTCCACACACCGAATGTCAAATCAACCTCAGACTCAGTACGGCCCGCCTGGACGATGGATTGAAAATGTGCACGTTCCCCTTCATCTGGGAGCACCCGAAGCAAAGCATCCTGGATGATCTCGCACTTTTCGAGGGTTGTCTGGCAAGGGCAACATATCAAAAGCCAAGACTTGGACCGAAATGACAGCCAGGCCTTCTTGCCATGGACACAGCTGATTTGAAGATGCCGGCAGTGGACATTGAAGGATTTGTCCACAAGTTTCACTCGCATAGAAGCGTAGTCTCCAGAATTATCCTGTCAAAGCACAACAGCAAAAGGCAACAGAACGTAGCAGTCGCCCAGGCCATGCTGATTACAGGACAAACCGGGCCTGCGAAAAAACCACTGCCACACATCCTTTGATGAGCTCGCGGTCCATGTCGAGAAGAGTCTGTGCAACGGCTTCAACTATTCGGGGATGTTCGCTAGCTCCGCTTCGGGCGAGTGGATAGTTGAGCGGGTCTCCCCGCCCTGCAAGTTCACACTTGGAAGCATAAGTGCCAATCTGGCCAGCGGCTGGCGACAGTACGACTTCCACACCGAGTCGCACTTGTGCCGGAGTGGGAACTGCATTATCCATCTTCTGCTGCACAGGATCAGTCGGCAGAGAGGCACAAAGTGATTCCAAGGATTGCCGATGCAAGTCGCTCTGAGCGTGTCGCCTCAAGTCTTCGAGCTGAAGCCGGTCGCCGAACTTGCAGCTGGAGGCTGCCTCAAGAAAGGCAAGCACGGCACTGCAGATTACCAGACGATCTTACGTGTTGGAACTCCGAAAGAAAGCCCAACAGATGCCAAGGGACATCTTGCTGTCTGCCTTTCGTCCCTCTGATGTAAGCAGAGCTGGCAGTGTCAGGAGAGGAAGCCGCCCGGTTGCAAACGATGCACATAAGTCCCCACGGCTGGGTCGAGCTTGTCTCGGCAAGCCACGGCATGACCACACCGTCGGGCCTGCACGTTTGCATTGGCAGTCATTCGCAGCATCAGAAACAACCGGGGAACGATGAAGGAACTGCCTCGTCCATGTAAGAGCTCGGCACCAAGAGGCACCGTTCTTGATGAACTTGCATCTGTTGCACATTCTCACCGCTGATTTGGCCTGAGGGCATGGTTGATTGCACATGCAGTGTGTTCTGAATACGAGACATGTGTCCAGGGTAACGGCACTGCCGTGCTTCTCGATGCATCTCTGGCAATGGGCACCTGCGGGGTATAACGATGATCGGAAGTCTTCATGTGTTGGCTTTGTGCATCCGAGCTGCCATCAGGACTTCTTGGTCGGGCCACCGACATGTCTGGTCCAAGTGTCCGCGAACAATCAAATTGTTTTGAACCCCGATCCTGGATGAAACCCTCCATGAAGAGATGCTAAAATCTGCAGCTGCTATAGACAAGAAGGCCCCGAGCTTGAGGTCACAACAGTCTGGCAAGCAATGGTGAACACACTTCTGTCAAACATTCAATTGCACTCTCCAGCCGTTTTGTTTTGGAGCTCCAATGCCGGCATGAAGCGGAAGGGATGTGCCTCAGATTTCGGGTTGAGGTTTCAGCATTCAGTGTTCAGTGGCCAGTACATTCACACAGTCGCAGCTGGGAGGCTGCATCTTAGACCAGCCTCTTGAGGAGCTCGAACCTGTGCAAAGCTTAGCGTGGCAACATGAACCAACGACCAACCCAGCCCGGGTCGCCTGATCGAAACCGGATGCGGCGAGGACCGTCACACCTGCGAAAAAACCAAGGCGTGATCGCTCAAAGGACCAACCTCACTGGCCCCAAACCTAAAAGCAAAACCACAATGCTGCAAGCCTTGGGGACCATCGGTCCCCATTCTCGGGGTCCGTCGGACCCCCACCCAAAACCTGTGGTCCATCGGACCACCCTCAGGACCGTCGGTCCCGCCCTGAAGCAAACCTGAATTGAAGGGCTCAGGCAGACTCAGGCACAAGCAGCATCGAAGTCGCAGAAGAACATGGAGCAGCCTGAGCGGAAGCGGGACCCCCACCATCTCAAAAGACTTTCAATGCCAATTGCGAGACAGCATCCAAGACCAACCCGAATCAAAGGAAGAGCCAACATATCTGAATCCAGAAAACACCAGAGCTTTGCACGAGGCCGGCACGATGGCAAGTTCGGCATCTAACACGGCCTGGGCGAGACATGCCAATGGCGACTCGAACTTCAAAAAGAATCTCTCAAGCAACTCTTCCGAACGGCTCGGCGCATTTTTTTTATCCCCGGTGCCGCCGCTCTTCAGGACCTCTTCGGATTCGGGGTACGGCTTCGCGATCTCCCCCGCTTCGGTCCAACGGCATCGCCACGGCCGCGGCCCTTCACGGCATCGCCACGGCCACGGCCCTTCAAGGCATCGCCACCGCCGCCCTTCACGGCATCGCCACCGCCGCCCTTCAAGGCATCGCCACCACGGCCGCCCTTCACGGCATCGCCACCACGGCTGCCCTTCTTGGCATCGCCACGGCCGCCCTTCGCCACGGCATCGCCACCACAGCCGCCCTTCGTCACGGCATCGCCACTGCCGCCGCCCTTCGGCACGGCACCGCCCTTGCCCTTCGGCACGGCATCGGCACCGCCACTGCCCTTCACCCCCTTCTCCGCCGGAACATCGTCAAAGCCATAGCCAGGTGCCACCTGAAGTCCAGCACAACAGGAAGATCAAGCCAAAACCAAACCACGAATAAGTGCATCCAAACATAAATTATTTGCCCGAGGTGCTTCCAGAGGCGGATTCTGCATGAAGGTTCCAGGCATCCAGTGGGACAAAACATTGCGTGCCAATACCTTCGCCTCGACCACGGTGTCCTGTATCATAATCTCATTGAGCATTCCGCAAACTCTGCCGTGATTGTAAATGCCATCCGCACTTTTCACACGCCCGAGAACAACAAGCAGGTGGGCTCTGGCTCTCACCGACTTCGCCAGCCAAATCACCAATTGCTCCCCGAAGCGACGTGTCTGCACCACCTGCTTAAGGCCGTCGATGTGCATGTCCGTCAGGATAAACAAAATCTCCCTGAGCTGGCCCGTCGAGGTGCACTCATCCACAAGGCGATTGACATGGGCCACATCCTCGGTTTGTGAGTTGATACCATCACAGCATCCCAAAGCAGAAATGAAAAGTAACAGTAAAGAAAGAGCTTATGCCATCCAACAAAGCAAGGCTCTCTCTGGAGCTGGCGCTCTGCTTCCTGCTCATTCTTAGCCAGCAGAGCTCGTGCAGCAGCAGCGCCTTTGCCCTTAGCCACTCTGCTTGTTGGCAAGTTGCGAAATCCAAGTTACGAGAAGCCTCAAGCAACTAAGTGCAGGAAGGCGGCTTCCCAGGAAGAGGATGATGGCACCGACGATTCTGTACGAACCTAAGCAGCAAGAACTTCCACTGCATCAAAGCCTGCAAGCACTCACTGCTTTCGGGCAAGAAGCTGGAGCCGGTGCTGGCACTGGAGTCACTGGAGCTTGCGGCGGTGGTGCCTCAAGCTTTCACCAGACAGCAACGAAGAAGCTTCCAATCAGGCAAAAAGCCAAAGTCAATGCATACAAGGCGCTTTGCTCTGCTGCTGCTGCATGGCCAAAACCTCCGAGAGCTGTTGTTGAACAGCGGCCAATTGCTCCTGTCAGGATCCAAGCAGGGAGAAAAAGCCGGCATGATGCGAATCCGAGCCCGTCCTGAGTCTTGCGAGCAGCAAACTTCGCCTGGGACACAATCTTCGACTTCCGTGTCTCGCCCGGCATGGCTGCAACGAGGGTCGGCGATTATAATCCAAATCTGAGCTGCTGCCCTCATGTTGTGAGCTGGTGCCCTGATGTTGTGAGCTGGTGCCCTGATGTTGTGAGCTGGTGCCCTGATGTTGTGAGCTGGTGCCCTGATGTTGTGAGCTGGTGCCCTCATGTAGTGAGCTGCTGCCCTGATGTTGTGAGCTGGTGCCCTGGATTACTGTGATGAGCTGCTGCCCTCGAGTATTGAGCTGTTGCCCGGCATCCCATAATGCTGTGATGCTCTACGATCGTGGCATGTAGATTGAGCCAGTGCCGAAGCATGCGCACAACCGCTGCTCAACATGCCAACACCGCTGACTCAAGAAGGCCGGGTGCAGGCTGCTGGGCTCCTGACGGATGGCGCCAGGAGCAGCAGGAGGCCGAACCAGGCACCTGGCGGGGCAGAATCAACCCCCCAAATCTGCAGCTCTGCTCGTACAGCACTAGACCAGGCCTCTGGCACCTTCGGGGGGTCCGAGGGTTCAGGGATTAGGGAGTAGTGTGCAGGGCGTTTAAGGTCTTAGGGTTTCGAGCGGTTTAGGGGCATAGAGCTTCTGGGCATTAGGGCTTAGGACACTTAGGGGCTCAGGACGTTCGGTGTTTAGGCCCTCAAGGGTTAAGGGTTTGCGGGTTTTCAGGTGTAGGGCTTTTATAGTTTATACGGGGCTTAGGGTTGTCCCCTAGCTTACAAGCGAAACCCTATAATCCCTGCTATAACCCACCCAAGCCACCCCCTCCAAAACATTCAAACCAGGAACTTGGGGACCATCGGTCCCCCACCCCGGGGTCCATCGGACCCCACCCTTGGGTCCATCGGACCCCTTCCCTGGGGACCATCGGTCCCCGTGAACAAAACCTGAATTCCGAAGTCCCTGAAAAACCCTATGAATCCTATAAGCCTTATTATAATAAACCTTACAAACTATTTATTTAGTTTAACGGCGCCAGCGCCACGTCGATGGCATCGTCGAAGAGGTCGTCATCAGGACACATGTACGGGCAATTAGGGGTGTGGGGGCTTAGGGTTTAAAGCTGATAGTTAGCAAGTGTTCAGGGTTTGGCAGTGGTCTGGGGTTTTAGGGTTGGCTCGGGGCGTAGGGTTCAGAGGTTTAGGACTCAGGGTCTTAAGGTATGGTGGGATTTAAGGTTCAAGATTTAGGTTTCAAGGCCGGGGGGTTTGGGGGTTGACCCTAAGTTCAGGATGGTTTCCGTGGTTTGGGGTTCAAGGTCTGGGGCTGTTTCGCTATACATCCACCAGTGCTATGCAAACGTCCCCTGTAAGCCATATACTACAGAAATACTATATAGAATTAAAAAGTATTAAAGTTTCCACACCAAAGCCTAGACCATACTTATAAGTGCTAAAAACCCCAAATTAAGGTACTCATAACCTTACTTACTAAGTCCCACGAACCTCCAAGAAAGGTTTATATAAAAGCTTAGAGCGTTAGCGCTTAGGGTCTGTAGGGTTCCGCTGCTTAGGGTTTAGGGGCTTAGGGAGCCACGATACTTGGAGGCTTAAAGGCAAAGTGATTCGCAACCTAAACATCGCGTGTTTCATGTTGACAGTCTCATGTTGCGAAAGCCATAATTATGTAGTACGGATCTCCCAATCCCACAATGTTGCAAGTAAAATATCCAAACCCCTATTGAATCCTAAACCTTTCGGCTGCGGGTTTCGGGTCGGGTTCTTATTGGGCTCAGCTGCTTCAGGAAAGGTTTTGGGGTTTAGGGTTCAGGAGTTCAGGGTTTAGGGGGATGTCGGGGTTGAAGGACCTCGAAAAGCATCATTTCAGTTTTCGGATATAGTTCGACAGCAGCCCAGCAACAACAGATCTTGAAAGCATGCACATAGCCTAAGACGAAAATCCAACAAGAGCGAAAAAGGTTAAGTGCTTACGGCTCAAGGCTTAGGGTACCCGGTTGCAAACTTCAGGAACCTAAACACACAACCTAAACCGTAAAGCCTGTCAACGCCTATACAGCCCTGACGAACCCTAGTGACAATGTCCACCTGAACCCTATAGAACATACCTTTTAACTATGATTTCCTTATATGTTCGAAATCCTTAAACTGGTGGGTTATTCAAGGCGGGATCTTAAAGGCTCCTTTAAAGGGATCTTTAAGGTTCCTGTAAACGGATCTATAATACCGTTTAGGGTTTTG